CCCTTCTGCAGGGCCCGTCCGCAGGCCCCCGCCCCCAACCCCCCCTCCTTAAGGGCTTCCTTGCCAAGCCTGCTTTCTTCCGCTCCTGCAAGCTAAGAAGAGCAGTTCTGCATCTCTGCTCCTCTCTTTCTCCCAAGGCAATGGACCTCTTGCATTCATACGGCTGGCTGGCCCCAGATCAAGAGCCAAACTAGGATAAGATGGAGGTCGAGTAGCTTGTGGTCCAACCTATGGGGGGAACCCAGCCCTTCCCTGAGTAGGTGAGGTGTGGACAGTGCGAACCTCAGCCTTTGTAGAGCTGACAAGTTTGGGCCCTGCATGTCATGCGAACACAGCTGTGGCTGGCATTCACCCAGGTTTCCTGATGTTGTCTGAACCCAGCAAAGCCAGGCTTGCAAACAGCCTGAGCCACTAAATCTCCTAGTGAATTTTCCTTGCCTTGCCTGTCATGCAAATCCACCACCAGCTGGATCTTCCCTCCAGCATCCCGCAGAATCTCTTTTCTCATCAAAAGCGCATGGGAGGCCTGGATCAGCCACCCTTGGGGTGGTGTTCCCCAGCTTTGTAGGATTTTGTAGCCCAGGATTTTTATTTTTAGCATTATTTTAATAGCTCGACTTATTCTGCTTTGAATTTTCATTGTAAATTGCTGTCAGAGTATGGCAGTTGGTGGTGTAAATAATAATAATAATAGTAATAGGCGCTTTGGGCACAATCCCAAAACATCTGGAGCACCCCTTGAAGACCATCGGCATTGACAAAATCGCTATCGGTCCATTGCAAAAGGCAGCTTGACTTGGAAGAGCTTCCATCCTGCAACGAGACCTTTAACACTATCAGACAACAACATCTGCCTATCCCAGGTCCTTGGAAAGGACTCGATAGGGGGATAAAAAAATCCAATCTAAACATCTGGCTGACTGTGTGACCAACCGTCATCATCATTCCTGGTGATACTGTCAAAAGTTGCTGGCTGCTGAAGTCCAACACCCTTGAAGATTTTCAGCTGAAGGAGGCTGGATCAGAGTTCCAAGTACGATGGGAAACACTTCACCCTTTTCACTTTCTTAAGCCTGGAAACGGCATATGCCAGGGTAGCAGTGCAGAATTTTACTTAATCAATGTATTCGCCACTTCAGTCACTGAAGCTACTCTGGAATGACACGGTTACCTTAATGAGTTTGGATTTTCTGGTTCCAAGGAGAGAAGCATCATGTCAGAAGCAGAGATGAGGGCGGGTGGTAAAAATGGTTTGTTTGGAGTGCATTGGAAGCTGATCAGGACGCCCTGACAGAGCTTTAAGTTTGCATTAGGCCAGGCATTAGACTTCCAAGAGGTTATCAACAAGAAGTAAAATGGAGGTTGACTCCCTTAAGATTGTGCTAACCCTTAAGCTCCATCGTCTCTGTAAAGTGGACTACGAAATCTTGCCTTTGGTCATTCTGGGCAGCTGTGGTGGACATTCTGGCTGAATTCACCCAACACTTTCAGGTTAGTTAAAATTGGAATTGGCGGAACATTGGCAAACCATGTCAGTTTTATCTTTGGTTCCGTTCTGGGGAAGTTAGTGTGTTGTGTGAATGCAGAAGTAGCCAGGTTAAGTGTGTTGTGTGAAGACAGCCATGGAGAATTTTGTGTTAGAAGCCTTGTTCTGTAATTAGAAAAATGTTCTGTTGTTTGTAAACCCACTAAAACGCTCTTGGGGGGGGGACAGTTGTAAATGACTCCTGTGCCCCTCCCACCACCCACCCTTCCCTCCATTAATTTGCACTTGGCTCTGATTACTTGAGGGCTTAACCAAAACCCACAAGCGTGAAGGCTGCTCCCTCACAACCGAATCCTTTGGAATCGCTTGGCAGTTAGTCGGCATAACGTTTTGTGGCATTTTCTGGGCGTACACAAATTTGCCAGGAAGAGGCGCTTAGTTAACTGGAATTTGAGTTGGGGGTGTTGGTGTTGGCTTAACAGACATAGCCCATTCGGTTTGTGTACAGCTTGCTGTATTGGCTGAAGCCAGAAAACGGGGTTAATTCAGTTCCCTGATTGTGTGAACACGCTCGGTGGTTGTCAGCTTCCTGGGGTGTTCCTGGTAAGCAATTCCATCAGTTATAGTGAGACTCTGAAAAGTGGGTTGTGGAGTTGGGCTGCTGTGAATGTTGCAGTAGAGGTGCCCCACGTCCCACTCTGGACCTCAGCGGGGCTTAATTAAGGACGCTTTTGATGGCTGATGACTACTAGCTGTTGCACACGCCTGGCTGGAGGGCCCGAGCAAGGCGGAGGGGACCTTAGGTTGTTTTAATGCATTTTGTAATCACTTCGTTCTTTAGCTTTCTAGCGTTTCAGTTTTTTCCTAGCATTTTTGAGCTCACGTTCTGTTCTGGCTCATATTATCTACATTTCTGCAGAACGCGTTTCCTTTTTAAAAAGATCTTTGTCATGTAACTTTTGTTACCCACGGGGTAAAGTTCTGCTCAGTGATCTTAACGGAGGATACCGACCGAGCGACGTAACATCCCCCATGAAAGACGGAGATCTGGGTTTCCGTTTTGCCAAGGAAAAGATGCGGCGTCGGATTTAAGCAGCGCTGTTCTTGAGGAACTGAGCTGATGTTCTTCCTCGTCTGGGTAACGACTTGCTATCCTGACATGTAGCTTTGTAAATAAGTAGCTTGTGCAAAATGTATCGTAGAAGCCCTGTTTCCATCATGGCCTGCTCCCGAGAGAAGGGAGCCTGTAAAGGTGGGCTGCGGGACTCCCTGCCGCTGGGAGAAGTGGGGAGGGCTAAAATGGAAGAGCTTCAGACTGTGGGCTGCTCCCAGACGTAATATCTAAGGAGGAAGATGCTCCACGTATAGGGGAATACCCAGATACTGTTGCTTTGCTTGCATTTCCCCAATTCCTCCTGATTCTCACGTATCTCATTCTTAGGATTCTGGCCGCAATCGAGCACTGGACTCTGGTCCTGGGAATGGGCACAGTTTTGCTGTAGAAAACGTTGGTCTGTCTGTTCAAGCGTGCAACGGATGCCTTGGCGACCTTTGGACACTGGAACTGCGCCTGGGGACATCCGTTCACGCTGCAGGAGCCAGAAGCCGGGCCTCCTGGCTGCTTACGTGTCTCTAGCTGCTGTGCGGTCCAAACTGCTCTGCGCAGCAACTTTGCCATGGGATCAAGGAGGAAAGGTCACAGAAGAGGGACAGGATTGTGGCCAGAGTCTCCCGACACCTCCAGGTGTCCATCAGAGAAAAGCCAAAGCTGCGTCTTACGGTTGGAAGGGGGTGGGCAAACTTTGTAGAAATCCTGGAAACTGGTGGGATAGCTGGTGGAAACACTGGGGGTCTTACTGATTAATCCAGTGTTGTCCAAACTTGGCCACTTTAAGATGAGTGGACTTCAACTCCCAGAATTCTGGGAGTTGAAG